GACCAGATTCAAACGAAAAAACCGCCAAAATGATCGCCTCAATAAGGCGAATCTGATGAGCTATAGAACGTTCGATTCGGATCATTAGTCGTCGATATATTTATGTTTATTTAAAGGGCTCGAAAATAAGCAACCCTCCTAAAATTGACCTCAAAAATGATGACGTAGGGGGGTTGCTTATTATCGGGAGTTGATATGAACATCTGCATTGTATATTCAAAGAGAGAAACCTTTATACTCGTTTAGAATAAAATATTACAAAACAATATACATTCATATCTCTTTATAAGAACACAGTTGGACCAGAACATCTAGAGATTATTCTAAAAAGGTGATTTTTAATATATATATACTAATTAATAGTTCTCGAAATCTAATATATTCAATCGTTATAATAAAGAAAATTTTTTGGCCGGCTCAACTAATAATCATGTGAATTTCCTTATTTAGAACCACATTATAAAGTTATAACTTTTATTATGTTGAAGAAAATAGCTCGACTGAATCAATCACATTCTTATTGGTTATTGACAAACCATTTTGCGCACGTTTATTGGGTGAATTTTACAGATTAGGAAATTTTCAGTCCATTGTGTTTCAAAAAAATAAATTGTTACACATGTAAATCGGGCTGAGGATGTTACATGTGTACAAAAAAGTTGGTTCAAGTTAGCCAAGAAAAACTTTAACTGAGTTTATAAGAATAAAAAGGGCGCAGCAGCATATCTTTGCCAGGTCTAAAATAGAAAAATTTCAATAAATCATATATTTTTGGTTGGAGTAGCGCAGTTAAACAGAATAAAAAGGGCATAGCATCATGCGTAAATGACAAATAATATTTTGGAAAGAATTTCTATTATAGATTATTTGAACTTAAAAGAATAAATCTTTGCTCAAATATTTTTATTAACGAAACTTTTTAATCACCTTATAACGATAATGTACAACTATTGATTTATGTGTCATTTTAAATATATTTCGAAATATTACACAAATTTGTAAACTCGTTCACAAACATGATATGATATAAATACTTGTTCCCAAAAGTGTTGTTATCGCAAATCGACATTTCCTGAAAAATAAACATACATAATAGAAACTCTAATCAAATAATTTAAGTTTAGCATCATTTATATTAAATAGCATTATATATTCAACAAAAAAAATTATTCCATACGTATAGATTCGATATACTCGCACATTATGAGATTTCCGGGAAGAGGCGCAACCCTTCCCACAATTTTATCGTTAGCCGCGACAATAGGTTTATTTCTCGTGAATATCAGTGTGCCAATAACCCACATCGATATTACATTATTGCGAATTAATGGGATTAGTGCTAAACAAACTGTATTGAGTGGTTTATGGGGTGCATGCAACGCAGATTATACGGTGTGTTCTAATCCAAAACTCGGGTATCAAATAAATCATTTGAATAGCACTATTCTTGGTTATTTGGCAGTAACGCACATATTAGGTATGTATGAAGTAATAAAAACGCATTTAATAGAATTTATGTGTTAATAAAAAATTTTTCCCTAGCGGCAGTTCTTTCCTTTATTTTGACATGTATCGGCGGATGTGCACATAAACTTTCAGTAAACAAACCACTGCTAAGATCAGCAGCACGTCTTGCAATTTGTGTAATTCTTGTTGATCTATTGGCATTGCTCGTCGATTACTTAGTGTATAAAGAGCTAATCAGCAGCAATGTTAAGCAAGTTGAACTTGGAAATGGATGGTGGATAATAATCGGGAGTCTGGGATTAACGGTTTTTGCTCTTGTCGCATTTTATATGGGACTAAGATCTTATAATCAAGAAATTCAGGAAAAAGATCAAACAGATGAATCGGTGGATTCATTTAATAATAATGATTTTAATGACAATCATACTATTGAACCTAGCGAAAAAAGAATAACGATAACAGATAATAATTACATGTACCCGTCTACGCCACATTATCATCAACAACCAACGTCTCAATTAGGAAATACCAATACTGATACGAGGATATTACCCGAATCTCTAATGGTTGGCGATCCAAATCGCCGTTATCAACAAACATTATCTCAATTGGGAAATACTAATAATGATACGAAGATATTACCCGACTCTCTAATGGTCGGCGATCCGAATTATCGTCGTCCATTACCAACACCACCGAATAGATCATCTTATTCAATCAGTAATAACTACCCTCGACGGCCATTAATGACACCACCAATATTATCCAACCAACATTCTACAACCCCGTTACAATCTCCTCATAATATTGATAATAATGGGGATTACTCATATCAACCTTCATCATCATATCAACAACAAATTATAACACCTACCTATTCGACTCATTCTTATCGTCCACCATCACGTCAAAACTCACAACCCTCTTATCAGTATCAAGATACACGTGATTCAATCCGGGGGAGTGTTCAATATAATCCACAAGATCAAAGAGGAAGTGGTGGAGATGTCAGAAAATAAAATGAAGGGTAGAAACACCAATTATATCATATTGAATATATGATATAAATAGTCATGTAAATAGAAATTAATATTGTTTCTCTTTTACCTTCCATATCTTATTTATTGTTATTAAATGTTCCAAATCCTCAAATTTCGATTTGATTATAATAATGATTGAATAAATTTAATGTCAACCACGAATTTGGATGTATTAAAAATTTGTCACTGATAATATTGTTATTTCTTACATTTCCAATAAAGCTGAATAATTTGAAACACATTCGTTTCATATGGACATTATCCTAACACCAATACGATAATCGGTGCCTTATTCTAGTTGAGACTCGTACTATGAACTCTTTCAAGAGACTAAAAACAAGACTAAGGGCTAGAAGCATATCTAGAATATGATTACAAAACACTTGAAATTACCTACTGCGAATGAATCTTAGGAAAGAAATAGCTAGATTGTCCGGACCGTACCACGACTTAAGTAAATGCTCAGAAATTCGTTATACCTTCGTGTGTAGTGTAGATATTTCCCGAGCATGTGATCATGTCCTGAAAACTTTACGGATGCTGAATCATTCCGGGCCAGCGCCGGATAAAATTTATGATCGGCGGATTTCAAATTTTCCTAATCAGGGGTAGCGGACAAAA